CACTCAGTTTCTCATTAGAGATGCTCTTCATTTAACGCCTCCGTAGCTACCACCGATGACGACGATTAACAAGAGTCATACGATACAAAGGGGTAAAGTTCGTTCCATTATGTGAGCGAACAGGCTTCCCGCCGACGTAAAGACGTCGATATCGACTGGAGTTTACGCGCTGTTGCATCCCTGCTTCTTCACCCCTCAACGCTTAAGGTGTTTCAATTAACAAATACAGTTATGAGAGAGTGCACTAGGATGGAGATATGCGGTAGATGTAACAAGATGCGCGACGAATGAAAATAGAGTGCTCTAACGTACTTGTAACATTTTTCGACAATACAGAATTATGCTAGAATATCGTGACAGGTGTCGATCGAAATTTGATATTTTGCAACGCATTCTCTTGCGCGTTTGTTTATTGAGACTATTAGCGAAGATTAATTCCGGAAAATTTGATTTCTTTGTCACACTATTGAAAACCGATTATCAGCATCACTGGTATTTTTCCAAGCTCGAAAAGTTTTCTTTGAACTTCCTGCCCTATTGGTAAATTGAGATACGCTATTCTTAATAAGTTTTTGTGCGAGAATTACAAAAGCATTTCAAGAGTATACTCGTGAAAGATTAAGACTCGGAAGTATTTTCGTCTTGTTTCGAATCTTCGAGATCCGAAGTGATAAGTAGATCTCGACAGGTAAAGGACGCCGTTTTTAACACAAAGCTAGAAAATTTGATTAACAATCGCCGAGTTAGTCGCGATGAAAATCGATTTCACGGTCATGTACAGGGGGTACGGAAAATAGCGCGATAAACGATCAGTTCAACCCATCGAGAGTCTGAGACCCTACATCGATTGCGAATTTGAACGGCAGTAAAAAGCAGTCGAGGCGTAAAACGAAAAGACGAGCAGGTCTCGGATCGGCCTGCCGATGCGAGTAAAATGGGTAGATCGATGTTATATACGTCTGTATATCGGGAATGGCCTCATTATCACATAGATCGAATCTTCTTACTTCTCTTTTATGGCTCGTCTTTCGCCCCCGCTACTTCGTAGACACACGGTACCTAAGACAGTCGTTCGAATAGAGTTAAACGTAAACTCGTTGTGTAATTTCGTTTTCCCGATAACGTGATAATACTGACAACAGATACTTGCTTTGCAACACCTCTTTTGAGGAAATTTGATAGGAATTACGCATTATAGTCGGGAGCTTTAAAATCATAACGTTTTAGAAATTCGATCTTGAGTAAAATTGTATATACCTTATACAAATTGAAAGAACTTTTTGTGCTAGTACACAAAGAGAGAAAAAGAAGTATAGCGTAACACTGTAAATAATTTATTAATTATAATAAAAATTGAAAGACATTATATGATAAAAGATATTATAAGATAAAGTAAGACTATCGACAGAGAGAGGATATTTTATGCTAATATAATACGTTAAAAGGAAAAAATACAGCTATCGGTGAATATTTCTTGGTAATTTTATATATCGAGCCATATATTTTGTTAATACTCACGCGTAATATTTAGTAATAGTAATTTATAATATAATATAATATATAATATAAAAAATAATATAAAATAAATATAATATAAAAATAAATATAAAATAACGTGTTATAAAATATTTTACAAATATGCGTAAATGGATCGAACGTGCAGTCAGAAAAACTGTGTGCATACAATTGGTACAACAACTCAAAACATTTGATAAGCGTACCATCTTGATATGAAATTGATAACACACATATGCACCGTATAAAATAAATATTTTCACTCCGTAATAAACCGCAGCGGAGAACTGTATCTTGGATAAACGTCAAGATTAAACGTTGATTTTGCCCAATATATCGAGATTAATATCCAACCTACATTAAGAGGTAGATATCCTGTTATCAGAGCGTCTTATTGTTTCGGGTATTATTTTTAGCATAGTCGTGAGAACTTGGCGAGACAGCGCGCCAAGACTGAATCATCGCTCGTTTCGCGAAACGGATAATGAAAAATTCGATAAGAATTTGAATCTTCTTCGACATACATATAGCGGAACTTTGAGAATTCCAATCAATCGACGATTTATGGTATTCGCTATTCGTAATTTAATGTAGATCGGTGACGACGCGGTGCGCCATGTTCTCGAGTTAATGTCGGAAATCAGGTGGTGTCAGCCTCTCGATCGACCATAAATTCCTCGGACCGGTGTTCCAAAAGTCCGTCGCGATTCGACACGCGATTAGAATCACAAGAACCACAAAGTAACTTACAGATTTAACGAAGGTGAGGATAATTAAAAATCGAAAACGCAATTAATAATTACAAGTACACGCAAATTTATCAAAAAGTTGAAAATCTACACAAAACATAAAGTACATTAAATGTATATATGCGATTTTGTTTTTGACTCTCTTTTTAGTTTTATCTTCAAATAATTATTCTTTACTTGCACGTGCTTCAAAGAATTTTATCTCAAAAATTTCAATCCCGTAATTTCTCCCTTGAAATGCCATTGTTTCTTCGTAGAATAATTTCAATCTTGAAAAAAGCAAGAAGAAATAATCTCATTTTTATTCTGATGATGGATAAATGCAAAGTGTTATTCGGTATTTGAGTCGAAAATATTTGCGCTTTATTTCGCCGGAAATTGCAAGTGTCGTACATGTAGATAGCATCAAATCGAAGAGACATATTCCACAGCTTGTTTCACTTCTATTGAGGATAAGTCTACCGTGAAGTCTTTGTAATGCGATTTAACGATTCGGGCACGTCGGGAGCGATGAGAAACGAGCGTGGAAGCATTTTCAAGGTGCTTCTCGGCTCGTACGAATCACCTGTGCGATATCGTGAGAGAAAATTGCTCGCCGGGAAACGTGACGTTTTGATAAGTGCCCCGGGATTTATGACACAACTTGGTCAATGCGGCATCGCGCCCGGATACATTAAATTAATTAATTGCACGCGGAGACGTACTCGGTTGGTTACCCACGCGACATATTCAATTTTCGCGACATTTGTAAGATGATTAATTACATCGTAATCATCACGCGCCGAGAAACACGCGCGATGCATTGTTTTATTCAAAAGCAATACGGATTAAAGCTCCCCGGGCTTCCGAGGAGCCGATTGTGCGTCACCCTTAGATATAAAGCTGCTAATGGAAACTTATTTAACGTTCAAATAACGCGTGTAAACTTAGTTGACGAGCCTGAAGTGTTAAACGCGATCAATGAGTAAAAGGCAAGGGGCGCACTTGTAGAGGCAAACTTCGTAAACGATATCAATTAAATGATGGTGTCGAAGTTCACCGTTCGTGGACTATCAAGCCCGGTTTTACAACGCGACATCCTTTAGCGGTGTTAAACGCTAAACGTTACACGCCGCGTCGACTCTGATAAAAGCTGATTGATTTATGTAAAGTCTGCACGAAGCAGAAAGCACAACACACAAAACTATTTAGGGTACGCTTAATTACGTTACACGATGAGTTAAGTGAACGAACACATGTTACGGAGAATTCGAAATTAATGCAGGTTTCTCTATATAAGTTACAAAAGAGGGAAACAGTTGAAATATAATAAATTTTCTCTCCAAAACAAAGGCTTGAAAATCTACTTATGCGTATATTAATTTTTTTACTATTTTTTTAGAAGGGAATAACTCCATTAAAACTTTATATAAACTTTTTATCCTCTTTTAGTTTCTATCCTGTAATTTGCAAAAAAACATCTGTTCCGGGTCTCTTTTAATAAACATGTGTTTTTTTAATGAATATGTGCAACGACTCTGAATATATTTTTAGAACGTACACAGTTGGAAAATTTGTGTTTTCTTGTTAAAAGAAATGCCCGTTAAAATTTTTGTGTTAAATGGTTAACACATTCATGTGTTAATTTAACAGATGCTCTTATGTTAATTGACCTTAAATGTAAAATTATTAAAATAACTGAAAAGAAATGTTAAAACAACACAATGTGTACTTATTTTGTAATCTTACACAATACATATGTTCTATATTATTAGTAACAAGATTTATCTGTTAAAATTTACAGAATGAAATGTTGATTTTATTCTATATAACATAAGAGAGTGATCTCGGACCATTTGGCTTATTACATCTGGGCCTGGATAGATCAGTTGGAAGAGCACTCGCCTGGCAAACTGAAGGTCCTAGGTTCGAATCCTAGCCCGTTACTTTTCTCGCCGAAAAATAAGTGGCGTGTCTTATTGTTAGTGCCTACCTCCCCGAAGATACATTCCTATTTATTATGAAATGTAAAAATTACATTTTTTAAATTCATTTTGTCATTAAAAATATGTTAAGTTTACACAAAATTTATGTTAAATGATTTTGAGATTTGCATCTATTTTGTGTTAAAATATTAACAGACTATTAGTGTGATCCTTTAACATATCCATATTATGTTAAATTAACACAAAAATTTGTGTGGACCGGTGATT